GAAAAAGATTTCCGGATTTCCGGCTGAGTCTGGCTGAGTCTGGCTGACTTTGTGACCTTTCTGACCTTTCTTCTTTCGTTCCAAGAAGGGTGGTTTCTGGTTGGTTTCTTTGATGATTGCATGAGGTTTGTCCAGAAATGGGGGATGCCTCTTAATTTAGGGCACAAAAATACACCAAACCATTGGTTACCACATAAAAAGTGATGAATTTTGGATGTTTTATGGCCCCGTATTTTTGGACAACCCCAAAGTTGTAGATAGTTTGGGGTCTGCGAGTTGCAGGACTCACAGACCGCGCGTACAATGCACACTTTGCCTAGGGAAAAAGATATGGCGAGTTCGCTGCTTGTAATGGTTGACAGCTGAGTTGACAAAGGAGGCGAAGGCATTGAACGTAAGTTGAAACTAGCGGATATATCATGCCAAACATGGCCACTAAGTATTCTATCTGACCACTAATCAACATTTTGTTTGAACCGGCAAGATACATGTGGACCTGGATCGTGATTAGTCTGTGGAGTAGAAATCATGCGTTTAATTGTTTGATGGCTGTGGCAAGTGGGGGTGTGTTTGCATTCTTTTGAATATTGTGTTTTTTCTTGTGCTCCTTGTGTGTCCAGATCTCCCGATCCCTCCAAGCTGCCATTCTACCAGCGTGCATTGGGATGATGCGGCTGGGAACAATGATGAAGATTGAACAGAAATTATGATCGAACCAGAAAACAGGGGGAGGACAAAACTATGAAGCAGACAAGCCGGCTGAATGTCCTCCGAGGTAAAGTATGTTGCAGGTCTCTGTTGGGTAATTGGGCGTTCAATTTGCACTTGACAAGCCGCGACAGAATTTCTTCTACCAATACATGCCAACACTTCCTAGTGACATTACTGCTGTCCCAAAAATGCTTTCCTCGGAACCAAGATGATTTCCAGCGTTTTCAGCACTGTCAATACTGCTGCGCTGCTCGATGCGGCAACCTCTCTGCTTTGCCATGGCGAAAGTAGGAAGCCGTTGCGGATAGGTGCAGAATTTAAGGGTACTGTGGATGGGATGGGTCAAAATCAGTGTTAGGGGGCTCAACTTTGATCCCAAGTTGTGATGACTTTTTGCTCCTATGATTTGCTGTGGTTGATCGATGGTTGATCCCTAAATTGGACCCGCCTTTGATTCAAAATGGTTCGTCAACTGCAGAGTATCACGTCTGCCAAGATCCATTGGATCACCACTATATTTCTATTCATATCACTAGTTACATGTCTTATTGGTCAAAATCCATCTATACAATGATTCAATGTTTAATGCGATCCATTTGGACTTTTGAATCCCGGACACATTGGCCCAGGGCATCTGGGACACTTTCTGGAGCCTTCCGCAGCCTGGCGACAGGTGCTACACCGGACTAAAACCTTTCCCCAGGGTGCGACTTATGGTGGTTTACTGAGTAACTGATGTAACTGGTTAGAAATGGAGATCATACTCAGATCATACTCAGATATACTCAGATCAGATGAATCTGATGTGATTATGCTCCCAGTTCGTGCGAGGGTGAATCTTCATGACACAATGTTCCAATAAACATCATTTTTCAGCACTGCTCCTGGTTCGAAATGGATGGATCATGGATCATGGAGCTGTCACGGGACCTTTTTGGAATGAGGGATCAACATGGATCAACATCCAGCCAGCAATCGGTGCCACTTTCGGGTGCAGGTGAATGTCTTAATCCATAGTTGACCGACTAGGCGCCCTAAAAGTAGTAAGTAGTAGTACCTCGAATTGTAAGTACACGTGCTCAGCTGGTGGCTACAGTACGCCCCCAAACATGGCAAACTTTGTGGGTCCCAAACAGTTTCCGAAGCAATGGGGCCGTCTGGGCCTTCGGTGATGCCAGAGGGTGGATTTAACATGATCTAACCCGATGGGTAACGAGAACAAGAAAAAGGAGAACTGGAGCCACGACATTCCGAATGCTCCAAAGTTGTAGATTCGAAAACCTGGGAACTTGGCCAGACTTTGACCTCGATGGTATCATGGTAGGCGCGACTCGCTGCACACTGAAGAAAGCACACCATAAACAACCAAATAATATAGGGGAACTCCTGTACTTTGTGAAACAAGCTTTTAAGACCCTCACTTGTCATTGAAAAATCATCCGAAGCACGGATGAAACTCACAAGTGCCAAGATGAATCAAGATGTCCTAAGAAGAGCAAGGTATCTATTCATTTTTTTCGAATCACCGCATGTTCTACACAAAGAGTTGACATGTTTAGTGTACTCCAATTTGAACAGTTTGACTTAGCCGCCACTTCTCCTGCCGCACTGATGGAACTACGTTTTGGCCAAGGCAAGGGACAGAAAAGCGCGAACTTCGAGTTTTTGGAGGACTGCTGGGTGCCATCAGGTGACACACCCAGATGTGCTGCACCATGCTGCACCTGGGAACCAGGAGGCAAATGGCATCCTCGTGAGGCGGCCCAACACCTGACAAAAACCTTGACTTGTGTTGTGTTCCTTTCATGTCATTGTTACTTGTGTCCTAAATATGCCAACCTAAGACATTCCCATTTTTGACACGTCGAGATGTTTCAGGCTGTGAGAGGAAGAAGCGAGATTGGAAAATGCTGCGTATGCTACAGGCAGGGTATCCTGACGCAGCTCGGGAGAGCGGCTGTCGCTTGGACTGGACTCACCTGGCCGAGATGACCTGAGAGCCAACTTGCCAGGCACGACATTGAAATTTGACGGCGAAGAGAAACGAAGACATGAAGAGGCACTAAACATTCTGTGCACAGGGACAGTGGGCAATGGGATTCCCAGTCATTGTGGGTGTGGTTTTGTATGTTTTGTAATGTGGTGAACCTGGTGAGGAGGCCGGTGAGACAAAACAGCAAGATTTCTTGACCCGTTATGTTGATTTTTCTGAGTACCAGACTTCTTGCTTCAGCAGTCTTTCCTATGAAACCTCTGTCTCTTTTTGTCTCTTTCTATCTGCATTTTGTTGCACTTTCAGTTCCGCTTCAGCTTTCGGAGCTTCGTTTTCAGGTGGATTTGGATGCGTCTCAAGGCCTGGAGGCCTGGCACGAACAGCAGGTTGCGGATCGTGGCTCCGCTGAGGATGGGACTCCAATGCTGCAGCTTCGAGCCAATGGCCTGAGGCATGTTGAGATGGGAATCGTGTTGCGATTCTGCTGTCGTTTTCAGGTGCTTTTCATGGATCATGTGGCAATTTCTGATATGAGTCTCTGGGATGCCGTGCCTTCAGCTTTCCTGTGTGAGCAGTGCAACAAAACGAGTGCAAGATGGACTGCAGGACCAAAGCCAATTGGGCCAATGTTGCAGTCTCAGTGGACATGGCAAATTTGACCTATTCCTGACGCTGGATGATAGCTACGAAGCAGAGAGAAGATGGTGGAACAGATTTTTGGCAGGAATGCAGAGGGCCAGTGAAGAGATCTGGCTACCACATCAAGGCCTCATTCAGTATATACTTAGTCTTCCTTCCCTTCCGTGTGTTTTTGTTTCTTTTCTGACAGAAATTTGAGGTCATTTGGATGGTCATATGGTCATATGGTCAGTACTGAGTCGATTTTGTTTTGAGCTGGAGGCCAAGGCCATAGACACTGGAGCTGTTTGGAGCCGATGCGAGGTCGGCCAGGGCGGCCTACGCAAGGCCCACTGCAGAAACTCGTTGCGCCCTTTGCAGTTTGAAGTCATGTCAGATTTCACGTTTTCACGTTCAGTGGAGCCCACTTGGAATCATTCCAGTCCTTGCTTCCTTTCAGGCTTTGTCCAAAGTCAACCATGAGCCTCCAATTACTCCCATGCATTTCAGAAACAAACACCTTCCAGGCAGTAGGATTGGCAGTGGCTGAGACTGAGCTTGAGACGTGAACTTGTGAAGCTATAGTAGATGTAGGGGAACGCTACACTGCTATGCTGCCGAAACGTGAACATTTGGGAATTGAGAAGCTAGAAATCGAAATGCGGAAAAAGGAAATTGATCCTCCGATACCATTGTTTTGAGGTTCCCTACTAGATTCTTGTGGGCGTAGCGGACATGTCCCATGACAGCAGGGTGACAAAGGAGACAATTCTACGGAACAGATATGGAATTCTTTTTATGATTGCAGGACAAGATGTCCTTCCTATTTCCGAGACTAAAGACCCGGAAGACCGACTGAGTTACTCCAAACGGTGAGCCACCTTTCACAAGTTGCTGAAAGAACGCCTCATGTGTTGATCTTCATGGGCTGTTTATCCACTTGGCAGTGACGATCTGTTTTCCGGGATCTATTTGCAGTTCCTATTAAGAGGTTCGATGTTGCCACTGCACCTCTTTGGAGCTCTTGGAAAAGCATGGAGCAAGGGGCAGGTCATTCAGCCGCGCAAGGCCCATGACTTACTGACGGTTCATCAGCACATCTCACCACGAGAAAAGACGTATCAAACCATATTCTACAGAGAGAGAGGGGGAGAGGAGAACAGCTGCATATCATATGCTTATCCTGTTGTGCTGTCCTGTGGACTGTTTGCATGGAGTTTTTCACCCCAGCAGCGGCTCTGATTGCCAGCAATGCTTGAGAAACAACTATCAATAATGATGATGATGAAGCACGAACAAATTGATTGAGATGAAGCTGTGGGCTGAGACTATGAAAACTCTTCAGGCCCCAAACAGTCAGACAGAAGGCGCAAAGAAACTTCAACCTTTATTTGGACTCATGCATCCATCCATGACTATAGTGCTGAGATATGGCAGCAGGCCGACGCCCAGCAAAGAACAGATGCAGCTTTCTCACATCGACTGAATCTAGTGAGCTGGTCTGGAAATAGCTACCGTTCTGGTGCCCTGCAATGGTATCCAGGTATCCAACAGTTTTGGAAGGCCACCGTTTCTCTTTAACCATTTGCCAGATTCCAAAGCCTTACTGTCACAGGTCCTAAGTCATCAACATGGTCACCCACAATTGTTTTAGGGTTTTTTCCCGATGTTCCCTGCCATGGTGCTGCCATTCTTCCTGGTGGTGTTCCCACTACATACTGCGCACGCATGGCCATGCAGTGTTGAGAACACCTTCGAGGCGGCATCATATGTGAAGACCAAAGATGAGCTGAATGAGAAGCAGAAACTGGGCAGAATGTTGCCGGTCACACCTCAATGTGTAATATGTGTCGGGTTCTGTATCAAGTTGCATGTTGAAACGGGTTTGCTGTGTTGGAAGTCTCAGAGCGTGTTTTGTCCTTCTTTGAGCCCCCAATGGAAGGTTTCAAGCAGGCTGATGTTCTGGGCAATTTGCAGTGTCAATATGGATTCCCCTGTGACAGACCTCTCCACCCAACAAATCCCAAGCTCTAGCATGGAACCATAGCAGTATCCACCCTTTGGATCCTTAAAATGACAATTTTGGCGGAGAGATCGTGTGCCGTCCTAAGGAATTTGCAAGCTTACTTGCAAGCTTACTTTCCTGTGCTTCCACGGCATGTCCGAGACTACCCCGAGCTCAAAATCACATACCACACAGAGAGTGTCTCTTTGGACCTGGATGCGGAAGAGCAAGAGGTCCATCTCAATATTCCTTTGGATGTGTCTGCAACGGAGAGGTCTCACAAGAAGACAAAGGAAGTCACAAACAGCCCAAGACTCTTGAACGCTTGGTGCTTCTTTGGATGTAGCACACATTCGGAGGAGCACGGATGTCATGGAAGTGGGCACTTCCAGGCATCAGTGGTGCTGCACGCTTCTTTCAAGCTCAAGTCCAGATCGTTGCATTGGCAGCCTGAGACAGTGCAGGCCCGCAAGACATGGGGCAAGTGCGTACATAAGCTGCATAAGATCAAATACTATTACTACAATGTTTGGGAAGTTGTGGACAATTTGCAAGAGAGAATTCAGAGCAGTTGGGTGAGGCCTAAGAATCGACAGAAAATCAAGTTGGCTTCTGGAGCCCGATTGTTCTTGGAGTTCCAAACTCCGAGGATAGTTGAAGCAGATGGAGCCCAAGCGATTTCTGGATCCATCCTTGGGTGTGTCCAGGATAGTTCCAAACAGTTGTATCCAATCAGCCCATCCCAGCGAAGTTTGCAAAGGCATTGTCATAATCAACTGCTTTTCACTAAGCATGAGTCGCATACGAATCAACCAATAAGGCTTGGAAGACTTGACAGCCTGCACTTGGTGTTTCGTTGGCATGGAAGTCCGAAGGTTGCCATCAACATAGGGAATGCGTTCGAACAAGTCACCGCCAAAATCGCCGAAAAAGACTCTGGATACAGCACAGTCTCATTGACAAGCACGCAGCGCCATATTGCCAGCACAAATCCTAGTCATTCTTGGGAATCTTTCATGCCAAGAAAAGTTTCCGAAGAAATTTCGAAAGAAATTTCGACATGGTGGTCTAGCCAGCAGGATGCCACTGAGACGTTTTATGGCCGCTCCCAGAACCAAGAGTTTTGGCTGACGATCGTCGACACAGATGGTCAGAAGCAGATTTCGCTGGGCAAGGGCAGCGCTCAGGGCCAACACGTACAGAAAAACATCACAGCACGAGGGTCTCTCAACCTTTCGCTTTCCAGCTTGGACAGCAATGCCACGTGGCAAGTGAGCTTTGGCCACACAGAACGTGTGTGTGACCATGGTATGCCTACGACCCTCAGTCAAGGTCATGGCGTTGTTCGTTTGTCCACACAGCTCTTTGGGGCCGTTCTTGGAGTGCAAGCTCAACATTTCAAGCACTATGTCTCAAATGCGACAACTCCTCTTCGTGATGCAAAGATACATCACAGTTTGGAGGTTGGAGATATGCAACTGAAAGTGATGACTCCAGAAGCAGCGAAGAACCTTTCCTTCGTCAGTTTGTCAGTCGAGAACTTAAATACCGCAGCACTATGTGATGGGCGAGTGCAGCCTCTATTGAATGCATCCTTGGATCGATTTCAGGGGCCAGCATCCCTCATCGGGCGAAAAGATGGTGACGGGAAATTGATGTTGTCCATGGCACTTCGGGGGAGCGACGCGTCCTCATATTCGTTGCAAGGCCCCCACTTGTGGAGTCCAAGCCTCCCAGTTGCGCAAGGTGAGGTCCAGGCCAACAAAATCAATGTGATGAAGCGCCTCCTTCCTGATCTCAGCCACAAGTTGAATGCTTTGGACCTTGTCCTTCCACACCGGCTAGCTCAGTTCATTCCATGTGAGGTGCAATCGGCCCAAGCAGGAGGACGTTGCCTGAATATGGGGTTGCCCCATGGATCATTCGGGCAGGGCTTTGTGGAATTCTCTGCAGGTTTTTCTGCAGATGATCAAGTTCCTGACATGTTTTTGGCAGCAAACCCAGCTTCATGGGATCTCGTCGTACAGGGATGGTTGAAGAAGGCTTATGCATTCATGCAGTCTCGCCCCAAACTTACCTCCCTGTTCCTGGCATTTCTTAGTCTGGCCTGGATTGGGCTTGCATGGTGCAGGTCCCCCAAATATGCAGTCTCTGCTCTTGTGCTTTCTATTCTCCTGTACAGCTGGTACTCCCATAGTCCGTTTGCGGGATTCACGGCCACAGCCCTGTCGGAGTCTGGCGCGCAAATCACAAGCATAAAGTGTGTTGTTGCAGACATGCAGAATATGACACAGATTGCCATGGTTTGCACCCTTCTTGAACTGCTCATCGTGCCTTGCTGGGTGGACCTTTTCGATTTTTGCTGGCAACTTTTCATAAAGACAGAATTAGCCTGTAGTGAAAAGGAGGACATTGCTTATTGGTGCTTCAGTGCGTTGGTGTTAAGGTCGCAAGTCTGGCTCTTGGTTGATATGCCACTGGTTTACTTCTTGGGTCGCAAGCTTGGAACCGAAATCGAAGCGGATTCAGCAAAGCTTTTTCCAAGTTCACCACTTCATGTTGTGGAGGTTGCATTCAACTTGAAGGCATCACAGATCCATCACATGGCAGGAACCATGATGAGTTGCAGCTTTACATCGATGTTTGTCTCGTTCATCGGGATGTACTTGATATACTTTTTGCTCGCTTTGCCCGTCGGAATGTTCCTTGGAGCCGTTGCTTTTGTTGTGATAGATGGTCCGGATCATTGGGGCCCGAGAGTTGCCAACACAACGGCTTTGTGCCTCCTCATCACAGAGCTTCTATCAACTGCCTCTATCCTCGGGCCTTTCATCGCATACCAGATCTTGGGCGGAACTACCCAGTGGTGGCTAGCAGCTTAGCAGCTGGGCTCATGGGAGTTTGCCGCCCGCTCTTTGCTGTGCCTTACGCAAAGAGTGAAATGTTTGCTTCAATGGCACTTGTGCTATTCTGGTTGGGCTTGCTTACGTAGGCATTTCTGTGATAGGCGGAATCCTCTTGTGGAAGTCCTACAACGGAGCCTTGGATCGGCGAAATGCCTTTAATTCGGATACAGCTGGGTCGGCAGCGCTTGTGGGGCGGTTGAGCAACTTTACTTTTGCCTTATATGCCACAACTGTATGGTTTCTTTCCAGTAGCGCCTTCAGATTGTTGTGCGACGTTGGCTACGCTAAGAGAGCTGGTTCAAAGCTGGCGGGTCAAATTGAAACAACAGTTTCTGCAGAGTGGTGGTCAAAAGTCTTCATATGCATTGAACGCACCTCTGAAATCCCGTTCATTGAGAAGCTTCTTCACACAGGGTGGATCTCGCAGAAGACTTTGCAAGCACAGTGGGAGAACTTTGTTTTTCCGTGGCTGATTTGGCTGTTGGAGATGGATGCACTGGTGTCCTTCCTCTACCACTTCTGCAAGGTGTGTCAGCTAGGCCGGTCTGAGCATTCTGAGATGCTTTTAACACCCATGTTTTGAAACAAGAAGGTCTGGGAGAACAAGATGTACCTTTTGGCTGCAGGTCAATTGAGAACACTGAGTTTCGTAGTCGTGTAGACACGCATAGCAACGCCATGAACACATGAAGGACAGGTGGGTAGTAGGGGGTTGGTTCTGTTCTGTGGCAGCGCGTTCATATGTAAAAGGCAAACGGTATCTATTTTTGTTTGTACCTCGCCATGTCCAAGCGACCGTGGGCAGGCATTGCGACATGCTTTTTCATGGCTATGATTCATTGGCCAATGCTGCTTTTCGCATGGCTATTCGAATCAGACCACCATTTTCAGCAAGACTTGGACAAGGCGCCGCAAGTGGTCTTAAATACTGCCAGCTTTGGCTGGCACAGCGCAATTTGTGTCTTCTGTGTTTGCTGCTTGGCGAGTTGGATGGTGCTCCTCTATGCGCATGCAGGCAAGGGACCAGGAAGATTAAGGAGGACAGGAGACATGTGCAAAATGAGAGTGCTGCGTCTCGTGGCTTTTAGACGGTTTCACATGCCAAGAGAAGGTGCATCTCAGTCCAGATCCTTGGCGGAGCCGTTGATAAATGGCCGAAGTCAGGAAGAGGACTCACAGGCGATCTTCAACTTTGCTCGTTCATGCCTTGTCCACCCTGAGATAGCTCGAGTCGAGCTGAGACGGTCTTGGGCCGGGTTTAATGGATGGGCAGCTGTTCCGTCCACAGAAGAAGGCGAATACAGAAAGGAGTTTTTGTTATTTGGCTTGCTGCATGGCTTGTTGGGTTTTGCACGAGACCTTCTGTGGAGAGAAAGCTTCCCACACACCTGGGGAATTTTGGGAAGCGAAGTGGCAAAGCAGCGTGGGCTTAGGCTTTTTCATGACTACCTCAAACACAGGGGCTGGGAAGTAGATGGTGCGCACACTGCCGTGGATAAGCCATTCTTGACATTTGACTGGCACATGTCACTTTCTTCGGTCTTGCAAGCAGTGCTTTGGATCTTGGTTTTTGCGTCCCTTCTTGGGGAACTCCAAAACCAAAAGATGATGAGCCAAGTGTGCAGCTTTCTGGCAGGGGCTGTCGCGGTTGCTTCGGGATTGAGTGTTTTGGTCCCGAACTATGCCAGATTGACTGATTTTCCGCAGTATTTCGAAGGCTGCGGACCAGAGTTTGACAGCTTGATGAACTTTACACTCTCGGGCATTTTTGGCATGATGTTTGCAGTACCACTGGGATTACAAGTGTTTGGGGCCCTCCTTACAATTCCCATATCCGCAGTGCGAGGTCTCTGGTTTGTCATGATAAGGCCAAAGATGCGCTCCAATCGAATCTTACATGCTGCGATGTGGCTGGTTGCGTTCCTCATCCCATTTGTTTGCCTCTTCCCCTTGCGCTTCTGCAATCAGCTCACAGAAGATTCGGAGTCCCAAAATATCATTTTCGCATTCTGGCTCTTCCCCGCAATGACAATCATTTGTGCTGGGGAATACAAAGGTGAAACGTGGTTTTATTTTGGATGGCTCACAGTTTATTGTGGGCTGGTGGGCTATTTCTTGTACCACCAGTCACAGATGAATATTGGTGTTCAGCAGGTAGTGAGGTACCTTGACCTTCCGACCTTCCTAGGCTGTGGTTGATGCATTCAGACTTCTGTCTGACCAGGATCATCACAGATTTGGTGTGCCTTGTGCTTGGCAACCAAGAGGGAATCGAAGAAAGTGACGAAAATGAAGATGAGGAACAGCACTCAGAATTGGAGATGTCCAAGACATGCATCGCGGTCTCCCAACCAGCCTTAGCAGTCACAGATGAGATTCGGAACCTTACGGGCTTTCAGAATGAATCTGTCGAAGAAGGCCTGACAATGGTAACGTTTGACTCCGAGATTTCAGCAAGAGCAGCAGCCAATCAGACTTTGACACACGGGCGATTAGTGCACTCGAGTTCATTGTTCAGGCCAGTCAACTCCCACTAATCTGAAATGCTTCATGATCTGACACCCGTTTTTCCACCTGCTTTCATTTTCCATTCCCTTGCAAAGCGGATTACGGTGCCATTTTCCACATTGTTGTGATGTCGTTTGTTCGAGATCATCCGGATTTGATGCAGAAGGTGTCAAAAGTGCATGGTGTGCAACTTCCATTAGTTCACAAATGGCATCAGTACATTAAAGCATTTGACTTCGCATCCACAATTTGCCAGAGACAAGTTGCACAGCCGTTGTTTTCTGCCAGAGAGTTGGCCTCCATGGCAGTGGTGTTTTCCAAGTCTTCGCAGCAGGCTGAAGCAAACTGTCTCAGCAGGAGTCCTGCCGTTCAACCATAGCACAGACTCGCAATTTTCCATCAAGTCTTGCCGTGCGCTTCCTTGCGTTCCAGAGCAAGTGCAGCTTTACGGTGCCATTTTCCACGTCGGTGTGATGTCATTTGTTCGAGATCATCCGGACTTGATGCAGAAGATGTCAGACCGGTTGCTAAATTCAAAGCATACGTCAGAATGCAGCCGCACCTGGTTTTGCGTGTTACTGTAGTTTTGGCAGGAAGACAGTTTGCAAAGCACAAGTCTTAGCAAGCTGTCTTGGAAGAAGTTCTCAATCGCCATCTCATGTCGATCAGCCCGCGATTCCAATGATCAGCAGCTCCAAGTACCGAAGCTCGTTCCAGCCAATCCAATCTTTCGAGACACAAGCCTCCATGCTTCAAGGCCTGAGCTTCAATGCTGTGCTGTTTTTTTTTGCCTGCTTTGCGTTTGATTGAAACCATCTGGAACTCTCAGATTGTTTTAGGAGAGATTATATAAACATTGCAGGGGCAGAAAGCTTCCGATGATGTTGCTGGCTTGTGCCACTTGGCTGCAGTCGTTGTCACTGCCACCTTATGCCATTGCTTCACGCTTGCGTTGCATCTTGGGCGTGTTTCCATGGGTTCCGCCCGGCTGGAGGCAAAACTTCCACTGTTGGAGCGAGCATCACGGTGAAGGGAGTTGTGAATCAAAGGCGCCTCAGTTGTGATTAAGAAACTGCAGTCACAGTTTCATACAACTAAAGTTAAACTTCGAAAAAGTGGGTCTTCTATCTGCTGTCCTGGTTGGGGTTACCATCTTGAGATTCCTTTCCCCTTTGTTTTTTTCAAAGGCCATTTCCTTTCATAAGACTATGAAACCCTCCTTCGGTCTCAGCTTCAAACTGGACCACTGCCTGAAATCCGTGGCTCAGGTGAGGAGCGCGATGCTGAGAGCTGCGCGATTGCAGTTGAAAGGTTTCCCTGGGGTTGCTGCACTGGATGCTGTTTGATCCAGTCAACATGTTCTCATTGACAGTTCCCTTTTGGTCCTTGTTCCAATGTGTTGGGACATCAGAAATCGGTGCAACGACTTCGACTCGTGCACCAAAGAAAGCCATGCCGGAAAATTTGCCGTGCTTTGTGCCCGCAATTTTGCTTGCTTAGCTTCGAAGGTCTCGCTGTATTTTCACATCAGCATCGCTTCAAACTTGATCAATTCTTCCATGCAAAGCTCTTCGAAAATAGTGTTTGGGGAGAGATCCTCAATATTTGCTGATTTGACGCGCCCGTGCCTGTGATCGATGGCATCCAGGCACTTCGCGATGCCAGAGACACCGTATTGGGTCCAACTTGGATACAGAAACAGAGTCACGAAACAAATCTGTTACCTGTGATAGAACATTCCAATAGAACATTCCAACATAGTCACACCATAATTTTGTTTGCTATCCACTCCACTGGAATCAAGATTGATCCTTGATGCTGCTTCGGATGTTTCGTGTCTATCCACATGTTGGGTCCTTCATTTCCTGTTCGTTGGCATTCCGAACCAAACCACACCAGGTCCTTGGCGAACATCCCAAAGGATGCCAAGAAGAAACTCTTTTTCACGTCCTCTCAGGAGATCGGGGTTCGAACCAATATTTATGGATGGTTTATGCCTCTGTTTTGCCAGATCTTTTCGAAAAAAAAACAGGTTTGGATTTGGTTTATACATGAAACGATAGTTGTTTAAACAGTATCTTACGGCCCATTTTGGGTGTGGCTTTCAATTTGTCCAAAAGAACCATGAGAAGTGAGAGATTTAACCACCTCCAAACACTGGATGGTTCAATGCAAAACATCATAAATTTCGTGGGTTCACTGGCGCTCCCTTCTTGGGATATGGTGGCCCAGTTTCCAGGGGGCTAAGCGATCCTTGATGGTTTGGTTTCAGTTGAACCTTCAGGCGAACTGATTGGTTCCGAGGCTGTAGAAGCGTTGGTTGCTGATTTTAATCCACCCTGGTGCACTTGAACCTGAAACGGCCCGGTGGGTAGAGCATGTCCATGCAAATCCATGCAGCTTAAACAATGGGAAAGTCCCTGGAGAGGAAACACATGACGGTCGACCTCAATCGGCACCTTGCGACAACTTTTACAGCGTCAGGGAGACGAAGCTTGGGCAGTTGTGTCTACAAAGGGTTCTCGAGTACAAAGACGTCTGTAGCTGTAGAATGTTGTAGGTGCATTTAGAATTATTTCTGTTTGGTCCATGTTTCCCGAATGTTTCACAAGAGTACTTGTGCCACCGTTGGCGGCCCAGGAAACATGTGATGGAACGAGCTGCATCTGCACCTGGAGGAGAGGAACCGATGTGCAGGATTCATCCAACAAAACGGGCATCCAAACCGATGTGTTTCAAGGATCGTCGAAACTCAATCTGTTTAACCGTTTGTTAATTGTTTGTGACCATATTTTGACTTGACCAATGTTTGGTAGATTTATATATTTTGAAAAAGCCGCAAAGCCCATATTTCAACGCAGGCGAGAAGTGGGGAACCTCGTACGGGCCTCAGGGTATCCCCAGCCACTCAATGGGGCCTTGGGGAATTGCTTGGGGATATTTGAATGCAGATATACTTTACAAAACATGAAATGTAGGTTGGTATTACCATTAATACAGAACTGAATGTGGATAGATTCTTAGTTGCAAGCGATGTAAATAAAGTCCAAATATGAAAGTATGCCTACAATATAACTGATGACAGTGATGTTTAGATATCAATTTGTATCCATGTAGCCTGTGTTGGAGGTTACTTACTTCCAGGTGTTTTTTTCGGGTCAGGTACACCAAAGCCTTTGATCGAGAGCCTGTGTTTGTCGACTTGGAGGTGCGCTCGGTCTGCTCAGTGAGTCGCAACTTCTGTTGTATCTTAAGGATGACATGAATGAAAAATAACAATAATAACTACAATACATCTGGATACATCTGGTACATGCATACATATATTATCATATATTCATATGTGACATGGCCTATAGATAAGTACAGAGTATTTATATGTATTTATGAATGGTTGCCCATATCTATAGATGCTGTGTATTAAGAAACTATGAATTTGGACCATAGCGCTCCATCTTTACCGTGGTGTGTTCCAGGTGAACAACAGCCTTGCTGCCATGAAGAAGGCAGGAAAACCTTACGTGAGGGCGCCACACGTAGGCACATCTCCGGGGCCCTGAGGGTTGGAAGAAAGGTTGGAAAATGCTGAAGATAAGCCACATGTATACTCTGACATATAGTTCTTCGGGGAAAAAAGCATATTGAGAATAGAGATTATACAGTGGTAACCGCCATAGATAGAAATCATGCAATGTTGGAAAGCGGTTGATAACCCACATAGAACTGGGGATATTCCGTGTACAAGTGGGGTAAAGCACGGTCATGAACCACTGACCACCTAGGATGTACATCCAGTATCATCCAGTCATATACTGTTCGATGCTATGGTTGTGAAAGTTCAGCATTCCATTTCTCATTCCGGTCAGAGCTTCCATTGAGGTCATATTCCACTGCCTTTGACTGGAAAGGCACTTCTGTGGTGCGGTGCTTTGAGGTTGAATTGACAGAGCCTGCAAGATACTGTAGCCAGTTCAAGCCTCCTGTGGCCATGGATCAATTTGTTTTCGTTCATTTTCATAATCAAAAACTCAGAAACCACTCTTGGGATACAACGACCATGGAACTGCCATACCAAAACTCCAGTAGAACTGCCGTAGGAACTCCGAAACCGGTGAAGGGCCGGGTCCTGGACTGTGGGTCGCAGCCTCAGTTGGAGCTGTGATTCGGAAGACTTGGATGATTTTTTCATGATACCAATATGTACCATACATGATCATACCAATCATACCTCATACATTGCGTTTGGGATACTTTGGGATTTACATTGACATTTGGATCATTTGGGTTACTTTAAGTTGTTTTTTAAATGTCATGTGAAGATACTATATGTCATGTTGACATCGTTGCTGACGAGCTAATTGCCACATAGATACCACTGGCGGGATTCAGCATTCACCAGGGCACGAGAGGCATTGAGCGCGGTCCTCAGAAGCACCTTCGGAGAGGATTTCAACAGGTGGTGTTGAAAGTGTTGTGTGAATTTTCAGGCAATGCCACAATATAAGAAATGGATAGTTTAAACATGTGCAAAAACTATCTTTCAGCTGGAGGTGTTGGACATTGAACCAAGATGCCACATTGGACACGGCAAGTTCCCTGTGCTGTCATGGTGGCATTCAGGTTCAGGCGTGTCTGGACAGCTGATTTCGCAAGCTGGCTACACCTATGCTGCCACCTGGCAGTGAACTTTGGGCATCGCACATGAATTCAGTGTAACACGTCACAAGCATGACAGCCATGACAGCCATGACAGCTTGAGAAGAAATTGCGACATAACTTGGAGAGAATGATGATCCCATGATCCCCTCATGGGAAGGTTTGGCCCTGGAAGTTGATCACAGATCCACACTCCACAGGGATCCACATCAGGCACGACCACAGCAGCCAGCACCACAAAAATACGTTCCGATCGACCAGTTGGGTGCTGGGACCTCAGATGGTGAATTTATGTTGATTGACACGGATCATTGGATAATCTGATTAGCTTCACCAGCTCCAAAGATAAGTTTTCATCTAAAAATGAATAACACTATTTTCAACCCAAAGAATTTATAGGTGGACGGTGGACGTTTGTTTCGATAGTTTTTGATTCCTCCGTCAGTTTGCCAGGGACTTGCCAGCAGCTACGACTTCCTGCAGTCGTCCTATGGCCACAGCTTCCAACACTCCAGCTTGCCGAGGCGCTCCATAGCGATTTCTGTAGTGTGGAAGGGCTATAGATAGATTGAATTAGATTGATAGATACAACATGATATGATATCATTGTGGGTTTATCACATTGATATCGATTCATCGAATGGTGTTCAAGGTATTTTTCCCGTGGAAAGGTTTGAGTTTATGTGGCTTTCTTTTGCTGCTCCAGTGCAGCAGTGCAGGCGCACGCGAAAACCACGTAGACAAATGAGTGACTTGGTATGTGGACACCGAGACACCGAGATTGGAAGTTCTTCTTCGAGTTGATTCATTCGCCAGGTAATGGAATATCACCAAAGAGAATGAACATATTTGTTCATTTGGAGTCCCAATACCCAAACTTGATAGCAAGCTTTGCTTGGCAATCCCAACTTTTTGCACAGTAAACTCATTTCAACTGGTGACCCCTCGATGTGTTGATCGCCTGAGGTGATCCCTCTGCTTTGACATCAACCTACCGGATGTCCTTCAGTCGTGGAGTCTGACACCGCACCCAAATCTGTGCAAGTTGGCGGTCGAAGCGTCTTCATGTTCTTTTCATGTTGAGGATTTGAGGATTTTGTGGATGTTTGAAATGTTTGAAACATGAAATCACGAAACATGAAACATTTTCGGCCGCCTTAGCTTTGTTTTCAAGAGATTTTGAGCCGCACCACTTGGTGGGCTTCCCAGATTTCAAGTTGCAGCCCCCCAGGGAAAAGGATAGAAACAGAAAGCAACTGCAACTGACATACGCTATAAAACACCTTTTACCACAATAAGATGACCTTTGTTCGGGTCACTCTAGTTTCCATCCTTTCTTGTGGGGTTGCAGATGTATTTCCTCGGAGAAGTGTCTGCACCTGGTCATGTTTGGCGTGTTTGGCCAAAACATGTGTGGGTAGTTTAGGTACATTCAGCAATGCTGCAACCATGTTCAGCAAATTTCAGCAATCTGCTTCAGTTGAGTTTTCCTTTAGGGAAAACTCGAGAGTTTCTCCACAGGGACCCATTCAAGTGGACTGAGTTTCTGCAGCATGTAGTTGGTTCAAACTGATGTTGCCGCATTGGCACGCTGGAATCAGAAGATCCACTTAGATCCTAGCGCCGTGTTGACTCTCACCAGCTTAAGTTGAAAGATCAGGTGAAACTGAAATTCTATTGTTGGTCCATTTCATCCTAGCCGGGTCCCTGAGAGATTCAGCAAGTGCTGGGCCCTGGCTCGGAAAACAATGAAGAGATGTAAACAGGTGTCGCTGTAGTCCAAAATGGGATAATTGGAGCCAATCACAACCAAAATCAACCGTCTTCAAGTTGGATTCATACCCAAATTGCTGATTGTTATAATTCGTTTACTGTTTCATGCAGGGGTTTTCTTGAAAGACGTGTGTAAATGCAGAAGATTTGACGGGGATGACATGTGCCTTTCAGTTGGTAGCTGCGGAAAAGTGGAGCTATGGCACTCCGTGCCATCCGCATCGGCTCAAGTGCTTTCTGCATTTTTCCCATCGGTTTTGCTAAACAAGATCTGGAAAAAAGTCATGGATCTATAGTCTACTATTGCCATTGTGTTGTACTTCAGACATCTAAATCTGAGACCAAAAAAACCATCAGAGATTCTTTGAAACTGGTGAGTGGTGGGTTTTTGCAGCAGTGCTGAAATTTTGTGCCGCTCAGCCCCATGACGGACGCAGCGACCCTCCAAGCGAAACGCTTCAGTTGTTCGGTGTCTGCTGGGCTGGTGGCAGGCGATCGCAAGACGTAGGAAGTCAGAGTCGCCATGCTCTTTGGAAAGGTCGATGGAATTGTTGGTCAAATTTTAATACATAAATTACCTTTCAAAAAAACAGAGAAGCCAAACAAGCCTAACGAAAAACTCAGTCGAAAACTATGCTGCCCAGATGTTTGTCCTCGTTTTGTACAGCCCGAAATCTGTCCATGGATTCCATGGATCCCCTGACGCCAGGTTTTCTGACCAACCCCACTGAGACCATTCGAGTGAGATGGCAGGTGGGGTCTCAAGGTCATGGGCATGTGATGACCCCCGCAATGTTGGGCCACGATTAAATTGATGAAGATTGATGAAGGATGTTAGAAATTGATACCCCAAACCGAATTCCAGGGAAACTTCCAGTTGTTGGAAGTTTAGCTCATTCATTCGTATGTTTGGCTGTAATTGTCATGTCCCAGCTGGGGTTATGAGGTGCTGTCAATGACATCTCCTTCAGCCACTGAGACAGGCAGGGTTGGCAGAGCTGGTGGCTGGGCCATTGATGCTGGCTGATGGTAGCTGTGGGAGGTGTCAGAAATTTGTCAATTAGAAGAAGAGATGGATAGACATCCAGTGACGGTATCGCTGGTCTTGTTGGAGGCCTCATACTTCAAGGTTCAGGGATTTCTGATTTCTTGACTTCTTGTGGATCTGTGGTATGGATTGCCGTAATTTGCACAGTCGCGTGGTGCTTATCCATTTCGACGTCTGCATTCATTCGGTGTGTTCATGGCAGGCCTGCTGCAGTTCTCACGGCAGATCTTGAAATCTGAGGCCAACCGCAGGGGTGCATCATCAAACGCTGAGGTGTAGTCACAACTCCCATCAGCAGCGGTTTCATGGATGTCTTTTTCATGAACAGGTAGGTTGTTTCTGCCTATTTATCCATGGTTGCCCTTCATCCGATTTTATAAACAACAAGTGAACAGACATAATGGACATTCCGACAAATCTAATGAATCAATGGATAAAAGCGATGATTTCCCTTCTCCCAATTCATCAATAGACATTTTGAATATGTGATATATGTGTATTTCCATGATTTCCAATGGATATTTCCATGGTATTTGAACTTTGCTTTCCACAACATACACAACATACACAACATATATCCAACCAACGTTTGGAAAAACGCCAGGGCCTGATCCGCGGCCTGTGGCTCCCGGGCTGCACCGGCTGGATGGCCGCCTTTGGAGGTGCCCTGCAGCCGACTGCACCGTAGCACCGTAGGGTGCCGTAGCGCACTGTGCGGCCAGGTGCCTTTGGCGTCCGCATGGGGATCTACGAATCGGTGCGCTGACACCATCGATTCAGTCAATTCTTGTGGAGTTTTTATGCAGATCGATTTTTCATTTCACGAATTCCGAGCTTTCCAAGCCTTCCACGTTCTTAAATCAATATAAATTATAAATCATCTAATTTCGGAAAGATTCATGGAATCTCAACTAGGCTGATTCAACGACCTCTGGGGGTCGATTTTTTGATGGCGAGGTCCGCTGCGGCGTCGAGTCGACCACCGGCTTGAGCAGGACCCAAACCGATGGAGCGCAACGATTTTTGTGTCTGAAACCGGCTGGAAATGGATGGTTTGTTCATGTTTATTCATGTTTATTCCATTTTCCGGATTTTGTTCCTTTGAATTTTGTGGGATACTCAAACACACCAACAGCTCTCTCTTTGTTGAAAAGGCACTTCTGGGTGGTGTATGATCTAACATTTCAACACCTTCCAGCGTCTTAAAGCTGATGATCTTAGTTTCAGAAGCAATTCTGGCGACTTGCCAGGGGAATTTCAGGTGTTTCCACAAATCACCAGTTTGGAAGGATTCAAATATGTTTTGTTAAAAGCAATGTATCATAGTTTTCTATCTGTATACTAATATAATGTGCTCCACGATGTGTCCTTGTTGAGATGCAGCCCAGGAGCCCGACGACTGCCTTCATGGCTGGCCTTTGCTTCGTGCTCAGAATTTTCATATCATCCTGACCTGTCAACTCATCATCGTGGGTCATCATCATCCCCGTCATCATCCCTGTCATCATCATGATGATTGCTAGTATTAATCATTGTTCAGCATCATCAGCATCATTCCTATTATATACTTGTTACTATTATCCCATATTATCCCATATCAACATGGTGTTTATCATGGGATGTTTATATATGTTGAATTGATGTGACTATCTGTTCATCAGCTGTCAAACATTCCCCATCCAAGGCACGGGGTCCCTCGCGAACGCGGTGTGCTGCCCGTTCTTCCAAGCGAAAAACCGATTGCAGGCGCTACGGGGAAATGCCACTGATGGAACTATTGGAACTGTAACGATGACCATGGGACGACCATTTCATCACACCATGGCCATTTTGTATAGGATTTGGATGATATCTTGGCACATGGCAAGTTGTTCAAGTTGAGATTCTGCAGGGAATGGCCATAGTTTGATGGTGGCATCCAGGGGTTCAATCGTGGCATTTCCCTCATTCATCCTGTAGATGCAAAGCTGTGTCTGCTTTCTGGTGTTCTTTCTGCTTCAACCATGGGAAACTCAGTTGAAGAGAACCTGAGCACCAACCAATGCTCGGAATTTATTTGCCATGAACACGTCGTTTCAAAAGCAACTTGGTTGCAACCCCTTCATCTCTTCTCTTTTACAACCAAACCTGCAGAACTTTGATCGCTCAGCGCTGCAAGGCGCAGGGCAGCTCGGGGCCACAGAGGACGTTGCACCGCCACCGTCACCAGATCTCTGGCGAATTTCTCGGTGAATCCCAGGAGTTTGTTTCGAGAGCTGGTGAGCATCACCCAGGAGAACGGCTTCACAGGCACCCTTTGCGGATCAGAGATAGAATTTGTCATCCAAATTATCATCTCAAATTTGGATAATTATATATATATGTATATATATCTCTTTCATATATGACTTCAGAAGGATTAGTGTAAATGATTGTAGATTGACACCCTACCCCCCTTCATCTCTTTCCTCATGCAGCATTTGTCAGCCGCGATTTCAGGCCTTTACCGGGGAGTACCAGCACTCTTCATGAGGCGTGCTGTCAAGCGGTAGACTCAATAGAGACCAAGGTGGAGTAAATCATGGCAAATCAAACTTCCATCCAAACCAGATTCCCCTAATTTTAAGCACCCCTATTGAATGGTCCTAAATATATGTTTTTATTCCTTTATCCCCTCCTTAAACCCATGGTTGCTGGGTGTTTAATATGAAAACTATGAATGGGGGATGGCAAAGACAGGGGCGGACTCATCGCCGGTGGCCAGCTCTTTGGCTACGACACGATCCTTGGCTTTGGCGGGGTCATTCCGATACAGCCTGTGGTGAGTTGAAGGTCAAGTTGACTTTGATTTAAACAGATCTTGACTTATTTTAACAACTTAACGTTATTCAAACTTCAACTTGTCAATTTTGATTTGGATGCTGGGCTCAGTGACGGAAAGAGTTGGAGCCCCTCGAGGACCAAGCGCTTCATGGTCTCGCAGGGTGTGCAAGAGGTGGGAACGACTTACGCTTCGACGGGGCAAGTCGTCGTGGATTTTTGACCCAAAGTGGTGATTATACCAATTATAGCACCAAAAATGGGAGGTGATTTGATGGGTAAATATCACCAATCGATGGGGGAGTATGGGTCAAATCGTTAGGTCACCAATGCACCCAATCGCTCCCAGGGCCCGGTGGTGCACCTCGCCTCCTCCAGCGTCTCTGCTGTGTCAGCAGCCGGGGAAGCTCAGTTTGTGGATTTGGGTTGCCAGTGGATTGACAAAAATATGGTCATTTTGAACATGAGACCAACATGGTTTCCCCAACAGGAAACCAATGGTGATTTTGGTGGATTCACCACACATCAACAGGAAAGCATCCAATTTTTGTGGGGACAGTTTTATCAGCCATGTGATGGTGAAATTGTTGGTGGTTTGAGCCCACTCAGCAGGTGTTAGCCTCTGCACCAGCAGATGTGGTGCTCAACCGCTACCAGGCTTGTTGATCCATCAGATCATCCAAGATTGCAACTGCAATCACGTTCATACACGATTTGTTAGTTTCAGGGATGATGATAAACCTGAGGTTAGTTTCAATATCATCCATAGCACAATAGTAATCAATAGTAACATTTGCATATTTTCTGGATGATTATAGGGAAACATCATACTAACCAACCCACTTCATGCTTTGGTTCCAGCCAGGCGGGCCCTCGCCTGGGCAAACACTACAGCAGTCTGCTGGACGTGGCTTCAGAATTGGCCCGGACCGAGGGACCCTTGGCCTTCTACAAGGTCCCAACACGGATGCGGGGTGGAAGGTTGCCGGTTAGAGGTTGGACTTAGAACTCAAGCCATAGAAAGATTGGAGGATTTGACCAGAAGCCTTATGAATTGGCTTCTTCCGTTGCTACTGATGAAGGAAATTGCAGAGCAGCTGGGATGGAATGATCGATGATGGAATGCTCCCAGCCAAGACAAAGCTTGCCATGACAATACTGTGACAGTTCAAACTGGATGGAATGACTGATGTTGCAAGAACACAGCAGCAACACCAGAACGATGTCAATGCCGATGACGATGATGATGACGACGATGGCAATGGTTGTGATGATGTTTATGATGACGACGAAGACCAAAATGAATATGAAGACGATAAAGAAGATGACTATGACGATGACGATGATGATGAAGAAGAAGAGGGAAGAAGATGATGAAGAAGAAAAAGAACAACATGATGATCACGAGGAGGAGGATAGTGATGGTGATGAGGACAAGGACAATCAGGACAACTTTCCATCAGAACATGGAACATCAAAGGTGCCACGAATCAACGACATATGAAAACAAAATTCCAAAACCATTTCCTCCAAAATCGTTTCACATTTGCTTTTTGCTCATTTGCAAACCATATCTATTTCCTTGATTTCACACACCTTTCTCCACGAGTTTTGGCAGGGTGTGGTCCCGAACGTGGTGAAGTTTCTCCCGTGGCCCAGTTGCAATGCCTAGCTGTACGCCCACCTACACATAGCTAGATGAAATGATGGGTGGTGATTTATTTGATTTGGTACAACTTGTGCGCTGTGGAACTCAATCGCTCTATGTTTAAGAACATCATAATTAAATCTTGGTCAAATGTATGACAGATGTCTTGCTTTGTCTGGATTTTTGTCGTTAATTCCGGATTTTCTGTGGATCAAACTTGCATCAAATGCTGCAGACCGCTCGACTGAAACCCCACAACATCTACCTAGGCTTTTCCTCATGAGCATGCCACTCTTCGAACAATTGTCAACACCTCAGATCATCGTTTTGAGGTTTGTCATGGTTTGTCTACACCAGGGCAAAGTTTGGCTGAAGACTGGTCACAGCGGCTATCGCTGGCCGACCTTCTGCTACCAACTCTGCCCGCCTGAGGCGTCGACTTATGGGCCTTGGATATCTGAACTGAGATGCAGAGATGTGACTGGAGACCATTGAAGAGGGACATGTGGGACTACATTATGTCATTATGTTGATGTTGAACTTAATACCTGGTGGTCTGGTGGTAACATATATTCTTGACCTTGAAGAGATGATGATCTTGACATATCTTGACTCAGATGATCTTGTCAGCACATCTCCTACATCTCCAGCTACCCGAATGCTCGCCTGACCCCATGAAACCTGGGGCTGCGACTTCGGCGACGGGCTGGAAGTAGGACCGACGGACCGACGGACCTGACCAACCCTGCTGAGGCAGGATGGCCAGGTGGGCCTTCGCGTGGGGGAAAAGAGTGTCTCCGTGGGGGGTTAGAACTTATTCATACCATATGATGAGATGAACATGGGATGAACATCCATGGTATTCATCAGGATTTTTTATGTGTTGTTACCGATGATAGCCTTGCTCGTTCTGATTCACTTTGATGCGTTTGATCTGGATTCGCTGATGGTTATTTCCTTTGCTGTCTCGGCTGGTCAGCGGGCTGCCAAACAAACAAGTTAACAACTTCCAAACCGCAGAAACAGCATGCAGAGTTGCCAAAGTATTTCCGGCAATCAACTCAGCAACCAAGCATGATTTTGCCCTGGGATTTCTCTGAGAGTTTCCCTCCCTGAAGCATTTGTTTATTTTGATTTGTTTGGTATCGTCGCTTTTGACTGCCGCGATCATGAACTACCCGGGTGTCCACACTCTGGACGCCTAGGCATCGCAGAAACGAAGAAACTCTGAACTTAAAACACGCAGAAAGATAATCAGAAATAAGGGCCGAATCATTTTGGAAGAAGCACTTCAATGCCAACCTGACCAGTTTCTTTCCCGAATGGGTAGCGAGCGAAGGATTCTTGTTTGACTCTGGGGTCTCAAGGTAGAGCTGTGTTCGCTCGAGGTTGCTTCTGTGACCACAACCGTCCCCAACCGTTTGCTGGTGTTCGCAATGTAGAAGCATGGCCATGCCCATACGGGAAGCCCCAACATGTGTCATTTCTGATGCGCTCTGCATCAACATGCTATAAGAGCGCTTAAAGTTTTTGAGAACAATGTTTAGAGTTCTGAGAATGAAAACAAAATCGTTAAGGAAGAATCAGGCGCTGAATGCCCTTTGAATTCCACGTTGGACGTCACTTTTCGCATGCCGTTTTGTGCTTCGTGTGGCAAGCGCAATACTTCTGACATGTTTTGAGAAATTGGACTCGGGATTTCGTGGGAGACGCCGCGGCGTTGCATTTTCCGTGGCACATGCAATATGTTCGATGTTTTTGGCCATCATGTCAGATGTATATTAGCCATCGTTTTTTCGCGAAACGCATTGGCAAGCGTGGTCCTAGGTTTCTTTTCAATCAAAAACGTGAAAAACCAAAGGAAAAACAAATACACAAATCGAGAAGCTCGACCTCTGGTCTGAAACAAGACGGCACCCCCGTCATAGCCAGAATGAATTTCTATAGAAGTGGTCAGAAAGGTGCCATTGAGATGGGGAAATGGCCGGGTCTCGGCCTTGAAGAATCCAATTTGGAGCTGAAAACGGGTCGGAGAATTCACCGATTTTGCTGATAGCTTCAGTCGGAGGTTTCCCTTACACGTTTCTTGAATTTTCTTGAGCCAAATTTTGAAGAAACTGGTACACAATGTACGCAATACATGGGCATCGCGTCGACATGGATAACAATTCTGTTGGATGTGATAAGCAGGTGATGATTCGTGCACAGTTTGGCTGCAGAGGTCACTCAGTGCCGAAGTCGCTTCAATGATTCCAACTGAGCAGTCGGATTGCAACTCAGTTTTGCCAATGTGCACAGCCAAGTCGTCAAATCCGTTGCGTGTCCATGATCTTCGTTGTTTATGGTCTGAGTAGAAATCTTTCTGATTCTGGCTCGAGCAATTTAAGTTCTAATCAGGTTTCTACGTTCTGCTGGAGGACCCAGCAGTTGTGTCTATATCACATCTACTCGGTTATTACCGTTATTTCCCGCATCTTTTCTCGGCATGCAGCCGCTGGTCGCAACACCAGAAGAGGGGAGTTCAACTTCGTCGAAGGTTTCCCCGACACAGCGAGCTCTCCAGGTGGGTAATGCAGACAACATTGTTTAAGTTGGGGACTATACGAAACAGCTAGGCATGAACTAAACAGCGCAAACACTAACCGCTAACCATCAAGATGGGTTCACAATGATGGATTGGTTCTTGGGAGATTTCTTCGGGTTTACACCGTGATAGGAACCACTGCCTTTTGATTTCACCCCGTCTCATCCACGTCTCAGGTGATGGGAATCTCACTCTTCCTCATGACCTTGGTGCAGACCTACGTTACAATTATTGGGCTGGCATCGCGCTATTGTACTCAAGAATACGACATCCTGGTTGCTGGGCCCTTAGTCGTCTTGATTTGTGGATTTGGCGTCAATGGGGCCCTTGGAGCCTGGCACTATGGACTTCAGCAGCCTTTTCTGGCAGTCTTGTCAACTTTTGGCCTCGAGTTCTTTTACGTCACTTTGAAACATGCGAATTCACTTCGCCAGTGCCGTCCCATTGAAGACTTGGACAGGTTGCAACTGCGCTTTGGAATTTGGCGATCATTGCCCTTTGCTGCAATGACATTTGCCCTTTCCTTGAGGAGCATCCTTGAGTTGACTCTATGCACAGCTCCTGCCACCTTGTCAGTTATTGGCCAAGGACTCCAGGTGAATAATACACTTGAGTGGACAAAAGCGATTCGCGACAATGACATAACTGTTGAGAGACTCACTCGCTTTCATGCATTTCGTGAAGATATGAATATGTCAGGAGTAGGTGACGCAGAACTTCAAGAATTTCGAGAAAAGTTTGCTTCACTGCATGATTCTCTGGTTGGTGCATTTTGGAAAAGTTGCCACTGCTACAAATCAAAATGGAAACTAAAGACAGGGACTTTCCGTGAAGACAGATCCTCTCGATGGGCCTTCAGCTTCTTCGTGACAGAAGATGATGATGAACTAGGTGGCATAGCACAAGGCAAAACTTTAGCAGGAAATATTCTTTTTAATGAGATGATTCTTGACAGGCTCAAGATGCTGAATGAGAGTGCCATCGAGAAGATTAAAGGAAAGATTGCAGATTTGGCGCCGATCTTCGTCACTGGTTGGAAGGATGCTCTCAAATCCCTTGCTCTTCAAACCGCTTCTTGGCCGAAGATCGTCGACACGATCTGGAAGAAGCTTGAGTCTCCCCAGAGCAAATTCCGCAAGCACGGACCCTTTGAAGCTGCTACATTTTTGGAACAGTCAAGAGCTTATCCATTGCCACTACTTGGATGGGAAGGGAACTGGGACCTTGCCAAATCTAGCCTTGGACTTTTGACTTCAGTAATGCCTGTGGTCAAATATGTGCGCAAGAGGAGGCAAGTGAACTTTCTTTGGGTGGTTTCCCACGCCATTGTGGACATGATACTCCTGGTGCAAACAGCTATTTGCTGCATCACTGCAACAAGTGCCGCCCATGCTGCAGGTGCGTTTCAAGCCGTTGCTCAGGCAATGGTGGAGCAGATTGTAAAGGGTGTTGCATCACATCAAGCTGAATCTGAATTTGGTGAGGCTTATAAAACTGGGACTCAGACAAAAACTGCACAAGCCATGCGTCAAATGTTGGTGAGGACAGTCACTCAGGAAGCTGAACACTTGGGAATCCAATTGACCAGTGCAGCATCTGACCTTATGATCAGCCCCTCACAACTTCTTGCCGCAGCACTCACAATCTTTGGCTTTTGCATAATTTCAGCTGGACTAAGCCATCACCTCTTGAAAGCTCCCCTCTCGGTACAAGAACACATGAATGCAAGCGTCTGTGGGCCATTGTGCTTCTTGGGTGCTTCCGCTGAATACACAAAGGTGTGTGACACAGTGAGAACCTTGATCTTGCTGCGCAGTATGTTGATGACTACGATCTTGTGTGTAGCTTGGATAGTTGCGACGTCCTTGTCCGAAGTTCCGATGGATTTTAGTATTCGATTTTATCCTGCGCTGATGCTCAATAGATCTACTTGGTGTGTTACCCTCTGCGCCATTTGGACTACGGCGTGTGTTCTTCATTTCGTGTCCGGCTACCTTGCGGTCTATGCAGTGGAAGTAAGCGAGGAGGACAAAGAAGATGCAGATCCAGATGGTTTTGACTACGAAGGCCTTGCCAGTGCAATTGAAAAATCTCAAGAGCCTCGCCCACCTGTCGTGAACGCTGCATATGGAACTTTTACGCATCCCTGACCTTCGGACCATTCAGCTCGGCGGGGGGAAAAATGAAGGCGGCATCTTTTCAGTGTGGCACACGCAACGCCTAAAAATATGGAATTCGGACCTCCACAGGGCAATGAAAGAGATAGATGCTCCCAACTTCAAGTCTAAGCTGGGTTCATTTGGCTTCAGGCTGGCCAGACGGGCTTGGTCCGCTTCAAGCAGGCGCGTATACAGAAGAGTACAGTACAGAAACCTATGGTGGGCCCCTTCTTTCAGGAACACACAGCAGTCATGTGCCTAGTTGTGTGCAAGTATGATAACTGCAGCTTTCACAGATCAATTGTATTTTCCAGACTCAGGGTTGGAGGTGACAGGTCGTGCCCCAGATGGGTTTTTGGGTAGCTGTAGCCAATTTGGGTGATGCTTTTCTAGTATTGCTTTCCTTCATTCCCCAACAGCAGAATGCTTTGGGGTCTTCAGCCATAGTAAAGGTTTCGGAGCAGACCGGAGCAGCTCCAAAACCCATTCCCCCAAGGTTCCCAGGTTCCAAGTAAAGGTTCCCAAGTAAAGGTTCCCAAGTAAAGGTTCCCAAGTAAAGGTTCCCAAGTAAAGGTTCCCAAGGTTCCTCAAGGTTCCCTCAAGGTTCCCAAAAGGTTCCCAAAAGGTTCCCTCAAGGTTCCTTCAAGGTTCCCTGCAAGGTTCCCAAGTTTTCCAAGTAAAGGTTGTCAAGGTTCCCCAGATTATTATGTAAAGGTTCCCAAGTAAACGTGGTCCAGGTTCCCAAGGTGACATTGTAAAGGTTTCTATAAGATTCCCAAGGTTAGATTGTCAAGGTTCCCTCAAGGTTCCAAAAACTTACCCTCAAGGTTCCTTCAAGGTTTCTTCAAGGTTCCCTGAAGGTTCCCAAGTTTTCCAAGGTTCCCAAGGTTGTATTGTAAAGGTTCCCTCAAGGTTCCCAAGGTTACATTGTAAAAGGTTCTCAAGGTTCCAAGGTTATATTGTCAAGGTTTCCTCAAGCTTTCCAAGGTTGCATTGTAAAGGTTCCCTCAAGGTTCCCAAGGTTACATTGTAAAGGTTCTCAAGGGTTCCAAGGTTATATTGTCAAGGTTTCCTCAAGCTTTCCGAGGTTGCATTGTAAAGGTTCCCTCAAGGTTCCCAAGGTTACATTGTAAAGGTTCTCAAGGGTTCCAAGGTTATATTGTCAAGGTTTCCTCAAGCTTTCCGTCTGTGTGTAAAAGCTTTTGCGTGTAAAAGCGTCTGTGTGTAAAAGTGTTAGTGTGTAAAAGCGTCTGTGTGTAAAAGCTTTTGTGTGCAAAAGTGTCTGTGTGTCAAAGCTTTTGTGTGCAAAAGTGTCTGTGTGTCAAAGTGTTTGTGTGTAAAAGCGTCTGTGTGTAAAAGCGTCTGTGTGTGAAAGCGTCTGTGTGTAAAAGCGTCTGCGTGTAAAAGCGTCTGTGTGTAAAAGCGTCTGTGTGTAAAAGTGTTTGTGTGTAAAAGTGTCTGTGGTGTAAAAGTGTCTGTGTGTAAAAGCGCCTGTGTGTAAAAGCGTCTGTGTGTAAAAGCGACTGTGTGTCAAAGCTTCTGTGTGTAAAAGCTTCTGTGGCTAAAAGCTTTTGTGTGTAAAAGCGTCTGTGTGTAAAAGCGTCTGTGTGTAAAAGCGTCTGTGTGTAAAAGCGTCTGTGTGTGAAAGTGCCTGTGTGTAAAAGCTTCTGTGTGTAAAAGCTTGAAGCGCCTGTGTGTAAAAGCGTCTGTGTGTAAAAGCGTCTGTGTGTAAAAGCTTCTGTGTGTAAAAGCTTCTGTGGCTAAAAGCTATTGTGTGTAAAAGTGTTTGTGTGTACAAGCATCTGTGTGTAAAAGCGTCTGTGTGTAAAAGCGTCTGTGTTTAAAAGCGTCTGTGTGTAAAAGCGACTGTGTGTCAAAGTGCCTGTGTGTAAAAGCTTCTGTGTGTAAAAGCTTTTGTGTGTAAAAGCTTTTGTGTAAAAGTTTATTTGTGTAAAAGCTTCTGTGTGTAAAAGTGTTTGCGATGCAAACTATTGTCGTGTACTTGTGCTATATTGTCTTGATACTCCTCTTCTTGTCTGCCTATAATACATCTTTAATATATTGTTTTGTCACATGGTGTCTCCATACTAACAAGAGAAGACCCTGCTCCTCTACGCTCTCGGGCCATCCGTCGTCTAGTTGGCGAAATTCTGAATGTAGAATTCAAGCTATAACAAGATTGGAAGGAGGATTTGAACCAGGAGCCTCATGGATGGGTTTGCTTCCGTGCATTGCTACGGATGAATGAAATTGGAGATTGCAGATCAGCTGGGATGGAACTATCAGTGCCGGAATGCGCCCAGCCAAGACAAAGCTTGCCATGACAATACTGTGACAGTTCAAACTGGATGGAATGACTGATGTTGCAAGACAATTTCAGCAACACCAAGATGATGACAATTACAATGATGATGACGATGACGATGAGGATGACAATGAGAATGGTTGTGATGATGTTTGTGATGACGAAACCCAAATGAATATGAATGAGGACAACGACAAAGACAAACATGAATATGAAGAAGATGACGAAGACGAAGAAGATTCAGAAGAAGAAGAAGAAGAAGGAGGAGAAGAAGAAGAAGAAAAAGAAAAAAGGAAAAGGACATGGTGATAATGAGGAGACGGATAGTGATGGCGACGAGGACAACGGCAACCAGAATATGAGGAAAAGCAAAACTGAGCATTTTCTCCCTAAATTTCACATTTTACTTTTGCTAATCTAATTACTGACTGTTTTACACTTCCCACACCTTTCTCCACGAGTTTTGCCAGGGTGTGGTCCCGAATGTGGTGAAGTTTCTCCCTTCTGACCCCTGTCTAATGCCGGGCCGGGCACCCCGTGATGAAATCGTTGGTGATTTATCGGTGATGTCCGCATGTGGTGCTCGCGACGGCAGGTGACTCCTGGACCTCTTGGCGCTGCAAAACGCCAGGCCTGACGATGGAACGATGGAAATGGAACCTGTGAATCTATCCTTTTGAGGAATCCTCTGATGATATACTCATAGTTTTTCCTGATAGTTGCTAGCTTCTTCCAGGAACCAGACCTATGAGCATAGAGGAGCATAATTGAGCATAGCACCAAAAGCTCATGCCTCCAGATAGGTTGTTGACTCACACACCCCACACACGCACCCGAGTCACTCGAGCGCGGGGTCGCCGTTTCAACCATACTGTGAGGACATGAGTTCGGTCGGCGATGGCTTCCAAGTTGGCGCCATGAATCTCTGGGAAGTTTGAAAAGGTCTGCCGCTTACTCTGCTCTGAGAATTCGCTGGTTGCTCGTGTCATGATGTAAGATTGCAGACATTTGCAGACGCTTGCAGTTGTTTCAGCTGGTTGTGAATATGATCCCGACAGCAGAACTAGAAGGACTTATGATCTGAATTGGCTCTGGCTCAAGTCCAAGTAGATTGCGATTTTTGATAACCTGCCAATCCATCCGTATTTCGTCACATTTTGTCAACCAATGGCGCTTGTAACGCTTGTTCTCTTGGTGATGTCTGTTGCAGCCAAGCGCCTTGACTCGGGCGACCAAGTTGCTATGAACTCCGTGGATGACTCTGATTCTGTGGAAGAGAGAAGTGGTTGGGATCCGGGCTGGGTGGAAGAGAATCCGAAAGAAGTCAGCGAGGAGAACTGGGAAAGCTGGCCCGAGTGGGAAGAAATCGAAAAGGAGCATCCGGCCATGACGGGTTTGAAGAATGACAAGGTGAACTACAAAGAGGCTGGTGAGGACTTGGTGGAGCTGTCCCAAGAGATCGTCAATGAAACAGGCAAAATCCGCTGCACCAAAGACCAGAAGGCGATCATCGACACCACCGGCCAGTGTGTTCAATATGCGGCAGGCTTCGTTATGACAATTTCGCCCTTGTTCGGTCCAGCCATGCCATTTGTCTTCAGCATTGCCTTTGGTGTCAACATTGCTATGAGCATCATGATGGGCATCACAGAGGGAAAAGATAAGAGTTTTGAGTACGACCTCAGCAGTCTGGATAGCCACGTGAAGCAGCATTTTGCTGGGATGGGTTGGAATTTTCAGCTTGTGATCATGTCCCTAAAGAAGGTGCAAATGACAATAGACCGCTTAGCGCATCAAATGACGAAGATGCTTAACAAGGTCTTGGCGAAGCTTTCGAGTATGGAGCAGAGGCTCATCAGTCTCAGGCTACAACCCTCTATGAGCCATATGAACATGTTAGCCCTCATTCACCAGGATTTGTTGAGGGCGATCAGCACCAAGGGAGATATAGTGGAGGTCCTTCAACCCAGCATTCCGCGAGTTGTGGACATTGAAGTGAGAATGAGAGCAGATTTCAAAGAAAATCTCGAGACCTTGGCGGAGTGTGCCGCTTGTGGTGGAAAGGCTGCTGCAACTCTTTGGCTCACGAAGACTTTGAATGCTCGTGCACAAGCTTGGAGCATTTTGTACGTCTACAGGATGTTGACCAACAACCTGAGCAGAGCCTTCCTTATGAACCAGCATTTTCTTGATGATATGAAAGACTGGCCAAAATTTTATGAAGCCACTGGGCTTGTTCCATGGCTGCGATTGCGGGCAACAGAGCTCTCCAGGTATATGATCTCAGCAGAAGAACATGTTGCACTGGAAAGCAAGGCTGAAGATTTGAAATCTGAATCTTGGGAACGCCGCGAGGAAGCGGTACAGCAACTGTTGACGCGATTCCGACCAGAATCAGTGGCCATTGTGGTGGAGCACCTGATTCCCTTGCTCGATCCCCCGCCCGCGGCTTGGATATCGAAGAGCAGGTCAGATTGGGTTGAATCTCCTGAGCAGAAAGCGTGCAGGAAGGCAGCTGCCCTCCTGGCGCAAGTGGGATATCCTGCAGCGTGGCAGGCAAAAGAAGCCCTGGAACGCGTCAAGGACATCACATGGAGATTGGTCACATGGACTTCCGGCGCTCGCACCAGTCTTTCACCCTGTGCTGAAATGAGTCGCGGGACGCTGGCCCTCCTGGAACAGCAGGAACTGGATGCACGTTCCGAGTAGCGAGCACAGCGAGAGGATCAATGGAGAAAGGCAACACTCAACATAACTGGAAAGTGTGAAAAGAAAAGATGTGAAAAGCTTATTGCGTCGCCAGATGCCGGAGATTTCCAAGATATTTCCCATCTATGGAAAAGTGGTTCCCGCTTAAAGGGGTTCCTGCTGCCTGTAGTGAAGCTTGCCGACGCTTTTAGTGCTCTTCAGATGGCTGACTGGTCCGCAGCTAAAAGTTCCCCAGGATGGCGTTGGCTGCAACATGTGTTTCTGCTGATTTGGCCCGGTGATTTTCATTGAGATCAGAACCAAATCTGGACAATGATCATGGTTGAGAACATCATTTTCCCATATAGAATGGGCTAGCGCCCTGGTGCCGCCGACCCCTCCTTAATGGGGGGGTTGGTAACAGGCGCATGTTCCCCGCAACCGTCGTTATGGATCGATGGATCTGGCCTTGGGGTAGCTTTTGCCTGCGCGGTTGGGCGTTCCGAAACGCTTTTGCGGAGTTTGAACGGTTTTAAGCCTTTTAGGGGTTTTAGGGGCTTTAACGTTTTAGGGGTTTTAGGGGCTTTAAGCGTTTAGGGGCTGGCAAACGGCAGGCTTGGACGCCCATAAGAAGCCATTGATGTGGCTTGGGGTGCCTGTTGGCTGCGAACGCCTGGCAAACGGCAGGCTGGACCGCCCAGAAGAAGCGATGGATCTGGCCTTGGGGTAGCTTTTGCCTGCGCGGTTGGGCGTTCCGAAACGCTTTTGCGGAGTTTGAACGGTTTTAAGCGTTTTAGGGGTTTTAGGGGCTTTAAGCGTTTAGGGGCTGGCAAACGGCAGGCTTGGACGCCCATAAGAAGCCATTGATGTGGCTTGGGGTGCCTGTTGGCTGCGAACGCCTGGCAAACGGCAGGCTGGACCGCCCAGAACAAGCGAGGGATCTGGCCTTGGGGTGGCTTTTGCCTACGCGGTTGTGCGTTCCAAAACGCTTTTGCAGAGTTTGAACGGTTTTAAGCGTTTTAGGGGTTTTAGCGGGTTTTAGGGGTTTAGGGGCTGGCAAACGGCAGGCTTGGACGCTCATAAGAAGCCATGGATGTGGCCTTGGGGTGCCTGTTGGCTGCAAACGCCTGGCGAACGGCAGGCTGGACCGCCCAGAGGAAGCGATGGATCTGGCCTTGGGGTAGCTTTTGCCTGCGCGGTTGGGCGTTGCGCATTGATGTGGCTTGGGGGGTAGTAGCTTTTGCCTGCGCGGCGATGGATCTGGCCTTGGGATAGCTTTTGCGTGCGCGGTTGGGCGTTGCGCATTGATGTGGCTTGGGGGTAGCTTTTGCCTGCGCGGGTGGGCGTTCCGAAGCGCTTTTGCAGAGTTTTAACGGTTTTAAGCGTTTTAGAGGTTTTAGGGGTTTTAAGCGTCTAGGGGCTGGCAAACGGCAGGCTTGGACGCCCATAAGAAGCCATTGATGTGGCCTTGGGGTGCCTGTTGGCTGGGAACGCCTGGCGAACGGCAGGCTGGACCGCCCAGAACAAGCGAGGGATCTGGCCTTGGGGTGGCTTTTGCCTGCGCGGGTGGGCGTTCCGAAACGCTTTTGCGGAGTTTTAACGGTTTTAAGCGTTTTAGGGGTTTTAGGGGTTTTAAGCGTCTAGGGCCTGGCAAACGGCAGGCTTGGACGCCCATAAGAAGCCATTGATGTGGCCTTGGGGTGCCTGTTGGCTGTGAACGCCTGGTGAACGGCAGGCTGGACCGCCCAGAACAAGCGAGGGATCTGGCCTTGGGGTAGCTTTTGCCTGCGCGGTTGGGCGTTCTGAAACGCTTTTGCAGAGTTTGAACGGTTTTAAGCGTTTTAGGGGTTTTAGGGGTTTTAAGCGTCTAGGGGCTGGCAAACGGCAGGCTTGGACGCCCATAAGAAGCCATTGATGTGGCCTTGGGGTGCCTGTTGGCTGGGAACGCCTGGCGAACGGCAGGCTGGACCGCCCAGAACAAGCGAGGGATCTGGCCTTGGGGTGGCTTTTGCCTGCGCGGGTGGGCGTTCCGAAACGCTTTTGCAGAGTTTGAACGGTTTTAAGCGTTTTAGGGGTTTTAGCGGGTTTTAGGGGTTTAGGGGCTGGCAAACGGCAGGCTTGGACGCCCATAAGAAGCCATTGATGTGGCGTTGGGGTGCCTGTTGGCTGCGAACGCTTGGCGAACGGCACACTAAACCGCCCAGAAGCAGCGATGGGTCTGGCCTTGTGGTAGCTGCTCTTGCCTGCGCGGTTGGGCCTTGTAGGCTGCGAACGCCTGGCGCGCAGGCTGGACGCCCAGAGGATGCCTGTTGCTAAGAAAGACAAGTTGTAACGGTTTGAAGCCTTTTAAGCGTAAGGGTTTTAAGGGTTTTAGGTGTTTGCAGGGTTTAGGGGCTCGCAAACGGCAGGCTTGGACGCCCATAAGAAGCCATTGATGTGGCCTTGGGGTGCCTGTTGGCTGCGAACGCCTAGCGAACGGCAGGCTGGACCGCCCAGAAGAGCGATGGGTCTGGCCTTGGGGTAGCTCTTGCCTGCGCGGTTGGGCGTTGTAGGCTGCGAACGCCTGGCGCGCAGGCTGGACGCCCAGGGGATGCCTGTTGCTAGGAAAGACAAGTTGTAACGGTTTGAAGCCTTTTAAGCGTTTAAGGCCTGGCACACGGCAGGCTTGGACGCCCATAAGAAGCCATTGATGTGGCCTTGGGATGCCTAGTTCCACACCTGCGGTGGTCCCAGGCGCCGCCCCTGCCTTGGCTAAGGCCGGGGTCGGCGGATTTCCCCCCCAATGGCGGGAAAGCCACGGTAGATCATGACAAATCCCATGGTAAATCCCCAAGTGTTGGACAAACCTGGTAAGGAGACGCTGCACAGATGATTCCGGACACCTCCCGACCAATTAGGTTTCCAGGTACGCATAATCTCTGTATCTTCTGAATTCTTCTGACCAGAAGGGCCGTGGCTGAAAGACAGAAGTGGAATCGTAGTGAAATCGTTTAATTTGGTCATGTATTTATTGCGTGTCTTCTTTGAGTGGGCAGGCCCAAGAACTGGAATTCCTCCATTTTCCGCGAAGCGTTTTCCCAGGTGAAGGGAGCATGGTTGGGAGCCCCGTAACTCCCGTCACCGTTTCCTGCGGCTTTCAGCCAGCCGGAAATGGCCCACAAATTTAAAGCCCTGAAGCACACAAGATTGGAGGCAATTGACTCTGTAGAAGTAGCATAAGGGGAAGCAAAATCAATAATTATATATGGCATTATATTGTCTAATTATGTCTAATGTTGGCTTCTTCTCACTTGCAGTGGTGCGGGTCTTGTGGCAAGCTGGTTTTTGCGGTTGTGAGCTTCAAAAAAATGAGGATGACACTGGCACGGAAGGGCGGATGTTGATGATATTGCAGCTTCAACTTTCGTCCGGCCAACGGCTCGAAGTTTCGCGGTGGACATTTTTCGCTGGTGAAAGCCATGGATGATGACAAAAAAGAAAAGGCACGCTTAGATGATGAGCCAGTTGCAAGGATTCCTTGGTCTTTAAGCCACTTGGAATGCAGTTGCCTTTGCGCCACGCTATTTCGGATATCTAGGTATGGCGGTATGGATCAAAATCTAAGACCCAGGGGAATCACTGATTTTGGCCATTGCTTGAATATCATTACTTCAGATATTTTTAGATAGCTCTGGCTCACGTGCCCTACCAGCAGGGGAGCGGTCCGGGCCAACTGTGAGCGGTTTGTTTTGCTCCGATTGTGATTTGCAATGGTCTCGTTGTGGGGACGCACAGATGTGGTTGTAGAAGTGATCCGTGCCACACATGAAGCTGTCTTGGCCAATCTTTGGCCTTGCGGCACCAGGGTGAAGTTCGTTGGCAATTTCCAGGTTCCGCAGCAGTGTCAGAGCCTCACGGTTTTCAAGGCCACGGTCATCAGCCCCAGCTCGCCTTTCTGGTGGACAGCATGGACGATGTTTTGTGTCATCATCGCTGTAGGGATGACCTGTGGAACTTAGTCGAGCTGTGCTCAGGCATGGGGATTGGCACCATGGGGTTCGGTCAAGCTGGGATGAAGACGGTGGTCGCAGCAGACTGGTGCAGACCTTTTCCTGAGGCCTTCAAAGAGATTCGCGGCAATATCCCCATTGTCACCGGTTACATTGGTGATGAGCAGGTCTTGAAGCAGTTGTTTCGTGAGCACCTTCACCCGACGACTCTCATGTGCGGCTTTTCTTGTCAGCTGGTGGCCCTCAGCGTGGTGCAGATGATGACAGGTCCTTGACGCTGCCAAAAGCACTGAAAGCAGCCTTCAAACTGAGAGCCGTTGCAGTGATTCTCGAGTGACTCGAGCGTGTACACGACGCTGGTAGCAATTCGATGGTTCGCAGCCTCGTAGATTCGTTTGCTCAGCAGTGCGGATATATCATCTGACCGGGACCGTTCTCAAGTTGGAAGATGTCTGGGTCTCACGCCGTTCCAGGTGGTGGGCGGTCTTGTCGGCCCAATTCCTAGGACCTGCACAGCTGCGTAGTTTCATTGCATCCGAGCATCCGGCCATTCCACGTGATGTCCTTCCGAGTCCCCTGTCCCTTGTCCAGTCTCAGTTGGACCAGCTTGTCTTGCACTCCGCAGAACTTGAAAAGTTTCTGAGCTATGAACCGAACTTAGGTCGAATGTTCTTGAAGCTGGATGGGAAAGCTCCCGCGGCGTTGCGCAGCTGGAGTAGCCAAGTCACTGCGTGTCCTTGCGGCTGTCGTGCGTATGGTTTCAGTCATGAAACTTTGTCGTCTCGTGGGCTTTATGGGGTCCTTGTGCCGTTGCCTCAGCCTAGACTTGCATCCGACTCGTCTTGCCTCTCCTCCGGCACCTTATCCGACTGAGATCGCGTTGCTCAATGGCGTCCCTGAAATTGTGTGGCCTGCCGACCTTTGACTGGTGATTGCCGGACTTGGGCAGATGGCATCGCCGTTACAAGCTGTGTGGATTGGTGCCCAATTGCGGCAGCACATCGACATGGTCTTCCATGGCCTAAGAAACTTGGACCCTGTTGGATTGTGGGATCAGTTGAAAAGGTCAGGTTGCCCAACTGTCTGATCATTTGGAATTCCTGCCGGTGCCTGCCCTGTCTTGGACTTGTCAACCATCCCTTTTGATGATTTCACGTCCACCCCATGGTTCAGTTCTCTCATCTTGGTGGTCCTTCCGAAGTCACTGTCGTGCATGAGGGTGACAAGGTTCTGTATGTCGTCCGACTTGGGGATCCTTAAGACGCAAATGCTGCGGTCATTCAAGCTTCTTGTGAGCTCATGGACTTCACTGATCAGGATGTTCGTGTACTTGATTGCTCCTCTGGACTTGATTTGGCTTTTGGCCAGCCTGCAGCTGGACTTTGCCTGCGGATCACTCGAAACCCTGTGGTTCCCGTCGAAGCTGACCTTGGTGTTCCTGTTGTGCCCCCATGGCTTGGGCTGTGGATCTGACTGGTGCTGCTGAGCCCGAAGCTCCTGTTGCCAGCCGTAACCTGGGAATCACCCATTGCCTTCCTTTATAGTGGCCCTTCTGCCCTTGAGCCGTTGGCAAATCTCTCTGCCGATAGGCTGGTGCTCGTGTCCGAGCCCTCTGTCACTGATGTCTCGTTGTTGAATGCGTTGCGAGCCCGATCACGAAAACAAGTGCTGAGGAACCAAGGTACTTTGTGGGCTGATGATGAGATGTGGCTTCATATGACCCAAATGCTCCCTGCGGCCAAGAAGTCCACATGGGCACTGATTGACCCGATGCCCTGCGCCGAAGCTTTGAAACGACCCAGCTCTGCTTTGATTGGCCAGTGGATCCGAAGCCTTGGCTTTAAGCTTTAAGCCAACTGCCATCCTTGGTGTGGTGTGCATCAATCAGCATTGGATTCCGTTCAGGTGGACTTGTGGACTTGGAATGCGCACTGCACCATTGCTTCCACTGGGATGTGCCGGGTTCCCCTCCAAAAGAACTTTCAGTTTTGCATCAGGCCATTGCCCTTGCGGTTGGTTCTCGGACTTTTACGGTTCACGTGGTGCACAGGCGTTTTGCCGTCGAACAGCTTTGTGGCATTTGCGCCCTGCGCTTCATCGACAACATGCTGCGTGGGAAGATGTTGCCTACCACTGAGGCAGAGGCTTTGCAGCTCCATGCCATCGGTCGCTCCTTGTTCGTGATGCTGTGGCCAGTGTCCCCCGTCCGTGGATTTTTGGTGCTGGACTTGATCCCAAAGCGGCTGACCGTTTGCATGGCTTGCTGGCTGAACATGGAGTTGACCAAGCACAAGTCAAAAACCGTGCCGCCTTGCTCCAGGCTATTGGATTTGCTGCTGCCCAGAAAGCCTTGACCTCCGGCCAGCCTTGGCGTGGTTTGAAAGCTGCGGCCAATCAGTGTCGGCCACTCTTCCAGCTTGTTCTCCCTGCTGAACCCCCATGGCTCCAAAGCCCAGCCAAAACCAGAAGCTCCAAAGGTCTCGATCCAGCCTAGCTTCAGCTTGATGACGGTGCCTTCACTGCACAAAATGGCGATCCGGTGAACCAAATTGATCTTCAAGACGTTGGCCCGTTTCGCTCTGGAATTTGCTTATGTACCTTGGATCAGGCTTCTACTGTCTTGCATGCTGGCCGTTAGTTTCCAATGGTGCCCTGGCCATGTTGCTGTTGAATGTCGAAGCCTCGCAATTGACCACAAACCTTGCATGGTCTTTTTTCCGAGTCATCCTCCGATGTCAGGCCAAAGGAGAACCCATTCTGGTTCCAGCGTACCTTGTCCAGCTTGGTCAGCATATGCTTGCATCGAAACCGTCAGAACCAGTCCATGAAACCTTGCATGAGTCTGCCGCCTGCATCAAGGCTACCAATCGCGCATGTGGCCCCTCTGCAATCCTGCATGTGGGTGTCCCAATTGGCACCAGCCTGTGGATTACCTGGTTGAAGACCCTGTTTTCGATGTTTGGAGAAGGCAATGGATTTCCTCGTCCTTCAAGGCCACTTCTCCGGAGCATGCTGACATCTTTGTGGTCAATTTGCGGCGCCTGGAGTCCCAGCAGGATACTGTCTTGTGCTGCTCTGGCCGTGGTGGGATCTTGGTTGAACCCCGCACATTGGATGCCAAGGATCATCACTTGGATTTTCAAGTCCTTTGGGTGCCCAAGACTGACAAAGGTGAGCTTTTCCGTCTGCAACAGTGCACTGCTTGGGCTTGCCCATGTCGGTTCTCGTCTTGGTCTGCGGCCTCGGCTGTCTGATGCACCTGAACTTGCTCGCGCTCTCAAACCTGGCAGTGTTTTCCTTGCTGCAGGTACCAGGTCAACCTATGAGCTTGGACCCTTGCCTTTTGGGTGTGACCGTCTGACTGTCAGCAAGCTGTGTGGACAATGGAAATGACAGGCCGGTCCCCTGTCCTTGTCGCTCTGTTGATGGTACGTTGGGTAATATGTGGCGCGTTCAGGCCTGTTCCCCCCCACCGTGCGCTGTTGCCCACTACCATGGGAATGAAGTTGTCATTTCGAAAGTTTCTGATGGAGAGGCCCCGCCAGCCCCACCCGTGACTCAGATCATTGCAGCTCTGTACGAAGGACCCCAGCTGCTCATGCTCCAGTCGTCAGTGCCAACTCTGCTGATGCTCAGGCATCCATTCGAGAGGTTGAGTCTCGTATCGAGAAGAGCCTTTACCACATGGAAGTTGACTCCAGTGCCACCGAAGCGCGTTTTGCCGCCCTTGAACAACAAGTCCAAAGCCTGACAGCCCATCAGCAACAGATGGAACTCGCCATCGATGAGCCTGCCAAACGCTCTGACTCCCAGATCACCGCCTTGCAAACCCAGGTCACCTCCCAGATTGACGCGCAAGGACAGCACATCCAGGGCATTTTCCAGACTCAACTGCAACAGATCGAAGCCTTGCTCACCAAGAGAGCTGCTCGTCACAAGGGTGGTGGCTTCTTGCAATGGATTTTCCTTCTCTCCTCTGGTCCGACTGTGTGTTGTGGTATCCCGCTTTGGACTCGCCCAGCGGGTGTCTCCCTGGCCTTGTATCTGTTTTTTGCCGTGCGTTCGTGGCCTGCTGTTGGATTTTGGTCTGCTGTGGATTCTTTCGGGCTTTCTGCCCCCCTCGCGTCTCGGCTTTGGTGTCCCCAGCTGGCTACCGTGACCTGATGTCCCTTCCGTGGAGTCGATCTGAAAGCAAGCATGGCATTTCTCATGGGCAACCCATCAGGTTTCTTTGGTGGTTTGTTTTGTTGGTCGCTGTGCACGTCGGTGAAGCGAAGCATCCAGGCCCTGAATGGACTTTCGGGGCTGCCAGCCTCAATGGCCTAAACACCCGAGCCTTTTGCTTGGCCGAATCTACAGTCCACGCGTGGTTGTTTTCCGAAACGCACTTGACGTGTCTGTGTTCCGTGCCAACCTTCGTGAAGCCCCTTCCCCTTACAAGTCGTTTGTTGGTGATGCCCCTGTCACTGTGAGGACCGAAGTCAGTGAAACCGGCCAATGGTCTGGAGTCGGGGTCTTGTCCCAGTACCCCATCAGGAG